GGCCTTGCCCCCCGCGGCATTCTGGCTGCCCCCACCCGGCGGCACTGAGCGTCCACTCCTGAGCCCACTAATGGCCCCGGAGAGCTGCAAGGGGAAGCCGAGCATCCCAGGGCGAGCGCAGCAGCCACCGCCTCCGGTCGCACCTTGCCCCGGTCTTGCCCGGCAGCACCCCTCCAGCACTGACCCCAGGCTCTGGCTCTAGGTCTGTGCCCCGGATCTCAGCAGGGGAAGCTGCCTTCCTGCTGGGCATGTGCTCAGGGGCTTTCCCCGGTGCTCGACTTCTCCCGGGCAGCCTGGGGCCCCTTTGCTCCAGGTCATCGCTGTGCAAGAGGCAGTGCCGCGAAGGCTGCACGCTCAGCCCGGGGCGTAGGCAGCGCGGACCGGCCCCGGCCCCTCCAGCCTGGCACGGCTCTCCCGACCTGCCATAGCAACCAGCTGCAGGAGCCCCCCCGGGCCCGCGGCTCCCCGGTAATGATGCCCACGGGAGCCTGTTGACGAGGCAACGCTGTGTTTGCCGGCGTCCGCGGGGAGCGGAAGCACGCGGGGGCTGCTTGGCACCGAGGGGGCCCGAGCTGCCTGGAAACCAGAGCAGGGTCAGAGCCAGCATCGCCCCCCGTCCTGCCTCTTCTCAGGCTGGACTCCCCCAGGGAACAGCCCCCCATCGCCGTCGGCCCCCCTCCAGTCACAGGGAGGGGTGAGCACAGAGCATCACCACCTTGCATCCCCCCTTGTGCAAAGGCGCCTCTTCCAAGCACGGCGCCTTTTTGGGGGAGCAGAGCCACAGCAGCCCCAGGGCTCCAGGCAGGAGGGGCGGGTGAGCCCCTCGGCCCCGCGAGCCTGCTAGGGCAGAGACCCGGTGAGCAGGATGCAATGACCTACCTGGGCGTGGCGGGCTCCAGGACCAATGTGCCAGTGCCCGGGAGAGGAGCGAGGGGGACAGGAGATGCTGCGGCCGGTCCTGGCTGCACCCAGGCCTTGTGCCGGCTACTGCAGAGGAGCGTCTGCACCTGGGGCTGGGGCAGGGGGTGACCTGGCAGACGCCCGTTTCCAAGCCTCCCCATGCAACGGCCCCTCAGGGCTCAGCAGCAGCAGGCACAGCCCATTTGCTTGGGTGTCTAATTGGCAGGGCACGTAAACAGGCAGAGGCACCGCTCACCACCTCCCCTTGCAGGAGACGGGGATGCTCTAGGGCTAGGGTGGATGGGGCAGGTCTCAGGGTCAGCGGCCACCTCTCTTCCACATCATCTCCCTCCCCAGCATCATGCGTGAAATCAAGGCCGCCAGTCCCTGGCAGAAGCAAATGGCCTGGGCAACGTGCAGGACATCCATCAGGCAGCCTGATGCAACAGGGAGGGAGCTTTGGCCAGGACGAGAGACTGCATCAAGTCAGCATGGCTTCATCCTGGTCCGAATCAGTGCCAGCATCGGGAGATACTTGCACGGAGCCCCAGGACCAACGGGCAGTGCCTCCGGGCCGGGGGCTTACGGAGCCTAGCAGCACCAAGCATGTCCGGAGGTCGCCCGCTTCCCACCCGGGACCACACTGGCAAGGGCAACTCGGCCCTGGTGCCCACAGGGGCAGGACCCCGTTCTCCTGCATCAAGCAGGCGCTGGGAGCTGGGCCTGAGGTTCTCCAGCAAAAGCATTGCGTCTTAGGCACCGCTGCCTGCCTCCGCCCTGCAGGGAGCCCCCGGCTCTCAGCCCCGCTCTCTCCTTGCACCTGGCCTTTCCCACCAGCTCCTGGAGCCTGTGCCCGCAGTTCTGGTGGACGAGAACGTGGCTCCTTGCCCCCCCAGCTGGAAGCAAGACCCCGCCAGGCACAGCGACCCAAGGGAAAGGGCTGACAGGAATAGCAAAGTCACAAAAGCTGGCTGATGCCGAGACCCTGGCCGTGCCCTGAAGTTGTCCTAGTCACTCCCCCGTTGCAAGCTAAGGGGGAAGGAGCATGGGGTGAAGATCCAACCTCCGGCCATGGCAGCAACAGCCTTCGTCCCAAGGGGCTCCCACAGCTGGGCCAGGCAAACAGGCCCCTCCATGCAGGGCACTGAAGCCCATATCACGGGGGCAGCCCAGAGCCATCCCAGCTTGGCCCCTCTTGGCTTTGGGCTCACGCTGGGCTGGCCTGGATGCAGAATCAGGCAAGGTCCCAGGGCCGTCTCCCCCCGTCCCTGCCCAGGCTCTCTTCTCCGTCGCGCTCACTCACCTCCAACAGCTCTGCAGCCAGCTGCCGGAGCCGGGGTGGGTGGGTCGTCTGTGCTCAGCCGTGCTCGCTGCCCGAGGGACACGCAGCTCAGGTGCGACGTGCCGGTGCCAGGCAGGCAGTCCCACCTCTCTGCCAACAGCCAGCAGCTCAGCCCATCAGCCAGGGAGAAGCATTTGCTACCTGCCCTGTCTGCCAAGGGAGGTGCCTGCTGCCATGCAGGGGGGCCTTCACTGGCTGGACTGGCCGGTCTCTGGTCAGCGCCGTCTCTTCTCCATCACCTGCTGCTCCCATGCTCCGGCGTGGGGAAAGAAGGGATGGTGGGGAACACAGGATGCTCCCTGCGGGGCAGAGACCCCCAGAAGCAGCAGCACCTGCTGCAAAGCCCAGCCCTGCCATCTCCCAGCTCTGTGCTTCTGCCGCCTTTGCACCCACTTTGCCTGGGCAGAAGCCAAAGCACTCGCTCTGGCAACTCTGCATCGCCATCCTAGGGCTGCAGGCAGGGATGGGGTCACTCCACACAGGGCAGCTGTCTTTAGCCCCCTCCTGCTGTCCTGCTCAGCGGATGAGCCGCCCCTGCTCAATTCCACCAGCCTTTCGAGGCTAAGGAGAGGGCAGGGGTAATGACTGCAACCAGCCTGCCTGCCTGATCAATTAGCCCTAATTACACGCTCCGTCATCCCAGACCCGCTCCCCCACAGGAGCTCTGGCCACTGGGAGTTTCGAGTAACATGCTGAGCCAAACAACTTTGCCAGGCAGAGGAGCCCAAGGGAGACGGGGCCTTACAGCAAGGGCAGTGCCCTGCCCCGTACAGCCACTCACCACAGTGACCCATTTAGGGAGAATTACTGGATGTCCCCAGTGGGGAGGATAGGGGCCCCCCCGAGATCACAAGGGCAGCTTATGTTGCAAAGAACAGGACTTAATGTAGTAACCCCCCGACCCCCGTGCCTTCTGCCTGCCTCCACCAGACCCTGTGGGTGCAGGGGCTTTGCTCAGTGGCTCCAAAGCTCACCAAGCAGTGGAAAGCCCTGCCTGCAACCAGGTTCACGTAGGTGCACCCCTAGAAGCTGAGCTCCTACAGATCTGCATGCTTGCTCAAAAGGAAGGCAAATCTCGCTGGCTTGCTAAGTCACTCCTATTCCACTTCTAGCACCCAGGTAGAGCAGAGGGAACCGTTTGACAGCCTGAGTGGGGACTGACCCACACACAGAGGGACAAGCAGTGCCTGTTGAAGGGGACAGACCCAGGTTAGGCTGTGGTGCGGGTGCCCTCTGCCGAAGAGTTCTGCAAAAGGCAGCCGAGACCCACCCAGTGGCAGGGGCTGGTAACGAGCACGTGTGGATGACAATGCTCTTCAGCCACGAGAATGGCAGGAGCAACGCCTGCCCCCTCACTGGGACCGAGCAAGGAACGACAGCACTGAAGTGTGGGACTTCCAGTGCAAACGGGACACCGACACAGAAGCCAGGGGCCATGGACGGTCAGGCTAGGCCTTTCCACACCAAGGCGGGGTTTCATCAAGCACAGGCTGAAGCCCCCACGGAGACACCATGTGCTTTATTCTGCATCCCAGGCAGACAGGCCAAAGTGCTCCCCAGTGTCTCCCATCGTCCTGCCCCAGCAACACAGCTCCACACAGAGCACATGAGAAGGGCCTTTGCACTGGGGCCAACCCAACCCTCGACCAAATCGGCACTGCCCATCAGACACGGGGAGCCATCAGGGTCCCACTGGAGCCAAGTGAGACCCTAAGGAACATGCGCACTGGACTCAAAGGCATGTTCACATGCACTCTGTCCCACCAGACCTGGTGGGTGACAGAAGTGTGGGGCTGGGGTGGGATGATGCTGCTCAGCAGGGAGACGACAGGCATTTCCTTACCAGGCTGCAAAGGAGACCAAGCTACTCAGCATTTCCTACAGCAAAATCCGTTTATTTTTTGCAGCATCGCTTTAGTATAAAACACACTGAGCTCTCCCAGGCTCGCCAGTCACCAGCAGGAAGGGGCTCTGCGAAACGGATGTTCATGCAGAACACAAAACGCGCACACGGAGAGGGGAATGAACAGGCTCTGGATGCTCCACCAAGTGCCTCGGATGCAGATCTTGGAGCAAGGGGCCACACCAGCCCCTGGCGCTTCAGGTCTTCATAGGTCTTTTTGTTCACCACGTTCCCACTGGAATCCTCGTATTCCTCCTGGAAGGGAAAGGCGAGTTGCAGTTACCTGGACGCAGCATGAAGGGGCCCAGAGAACCTGGGCTGAAATTCAGCTGTACCTACATACTCAGTTGCCC